TCTAGATCATGAGATATCAAAACCGGAAGTTCAGCTGCAGTACCATAACAAGCCGCTAGGGGGTCCAAAATCTAATCATTTCGAGGTCTCATCAAGACCTACCCACCTACCAAGTATCAAGACAATCCATCAAGGCCTTCTCAAGTTATCGTGTTGACAGACAGACACACACACACACACACACATACACGAACGCCCCTGAAAACATAACCTTCTTGGCGAAGGTAAAAATACACTCCATATACCGCACACAGAGGTAAAAAATGATTAGTCAACTATTGGCAGGGTTCATTTATATCAGCCTATAGCATATAGTCATTTCATCACATAAATAGTGTTATGATGTAATCACTATAATAAAACTGCAATGCAGAATTATGTTCTCATGTATTTTGCCCATTGAAAATTTAGATCTAAGACATTCCAAAATTTCTAAATTCTAACACACATAGCATGAATTTACACATACATAATTAATATCCTGTACCAACTAACGATGTACTAGCTTAAGGTCATGAGAAATGACCTTGCAACATTCAGCAGAATGTATCCAACTGCCATTGATTCAATCAGTAACTTATTACTTGCCATTGATACATTCTGGTTCATTCCCAGCCATTTTGTTTGCATGTGTTTTTTTTTTTGTGTAACCATGTAGGTCTACATGTACCATATTGGCAAGAGAGGGTCTCTACTGTACAAAAACTTGTAGTGAGTTTATGAGATCATAGACAGTCAGCAAGGCTCCCCTTCATACATGTATTTGCAAATAGATCATAGAGCAAGCAAATGCAACAAAACCACATATTTTCATCTCTAACACCATAAGATGCAAGTCTTGCACTCAAGACTATGAGGCTGTAGCAGCTTAACCAGAAATATGGCACTATTTTGCTACAATGTTTTTAGTAACAAGGCTCAGGAGTACACATAGGTCACCCTTGTATTTGTTCGACCCACACTTTGTCACTAGGCAAATACACTTGCTGGTTCCTGTGACATGGTGCCAAGTCCACCCAAGGTTTCTCCTTGCAGCAAAAACAAGACCCTGCAAGAACTGGATCAATACTGTAATGTAATAACTTAATAAGCTGTGGTCATAATCAGCTATTAGTTCTTTTGTGAGTGCTGTTTGCACTTGTAGCAGATCAATCCTAACACAATTAAAGTATGTAGCTCTTACACATCATCAGCACATTTTTCTGAGTCTGATCATGGTTTAGCTGTTTTCCAACATGGCTTGGTCAACAAAAAGAGGTCTTTGTGGGTGAGTGTTTACTCAGTAAAGCTGTTGCAATCAAGTGTGAAAACCAAGCACGAAATATGGTAATTTTAAAATTACTTCTTACTCGGGACTCCATTTCATGGGAAAGGCAGAGGGAAAAATGCTGCATTAACAATTTCAGTAAAAATATGGGGTCTCTAGCTAGGGATTTTATTGTCAGGTGTTGACCACAAAAGGGCTAGGGTTGACGTGACAGGTTTTTGGTCAGGAAACTGCAAACACAGCATTTTTTTTCTAGTAGCAGTTGGTATCCAGTCTTTGATTATGATAATGCTGTGGGGGCCCATGACACAGGAGTGGGCAGCAGTCAACCAGTCTTCACACAATGCCTCCAATCAACGTTGCAACTCTGTCCAGCCGGTCCACACAAGCAAGGCTGCCCTCTCTAAAGTCTAATGTCATTCCTCATTTCCATCCAGGGTTTCATTGGTCTACACTGACCTCTGTTACATTGCCTGGCAGCTGCAGTTCAGTGATGATGCAGCCAATTATGAATAGGCCTTATAATTAGAAAATAAGCTTGGGGCAATCCTGAAAATCATCCTCTCCTAACATCTGCTTGGAGATAATGTCCACAAGAGATGATTCAGTGGCACTGTGTATAATAACCATGATGTAATGAATGAATGTTTGGAATTTGAATCCAATGATGATCTCATGGGAAAGGTGTTGAGTGCACATTGACCATATATGTAAATTACAACGGAACACTGTGGGGCTTGAAAGTTGAGTTTTCCTCTCGTCTGCAATATTGCAAGCTACCGTATCAGCAACTGTGAGCATGGTTTTATAGAACTGAATACAATTTCAATTTTATTACAATGGCCAATACTACATCAGTGCCATACTTTTTAACCTATGGTGTAGTATGTGCAGTGACAGCACAGGTGCATGTAACTAACACTTACACAGATAATGCCTTGTATCTGTGTTGACAGATGGGTATTTCAAGCCCTGATAACACTAGTAGTGATATAGTGTAATTGATCTCCTTCCTTGCAGGCTGTGTTATTTTTTTCTTGGTCCCTTCATGCATTTCAGTTTCACTTTCTTTGTTTCCTTTGCCACCCACGCATAAGGAAGTGTAATCAAGTGTTGGAAAGAAACCTAAAGTTGAACAGGATGATTCAGTTTACCAAAAACAAAAAATTTAATAATACACCATATTTGTAACGGTAATCTTGATGGTCTATTAAAAATGGAGTGACTCATTTGTAATACTAGTATACGAATGCAAGCTACATAACGGTACGTCATTATTGACGGAGTCTTGGGGACTAACATTCCCAAAGACACGCCCCAAAAATCCTCAAGACTCTCCTGGGGATTAGACAAAGGGGCCCTTGGGTGAGTTTCTTTCAAGAGTATAAATTTGATGGTTGCTCTATTAAACAGGATCACAGTGATAACACAGAATCACAAGGAGAATGAAAAGTACATGTCTATAGTATATAATACCTGACAATTGTCCCGAGCTGTAGAAAGTGGAGAAAACTCCGCCAGAGCCAGCTCAGGATAGCCGGTTTCTTCCTGGCCACCCTCCCTCTCTGATCATCGCTTTCTTCTTCTGCGTCTCGGCTTTCGTCTTGGAGGTACCACTTCAGACTGAACAACTGCAGCACGATAGACGGTAAGGCAACGAAGAACAGGGTAAAGCCGAAGAAATAGTACCGCTTTTTACTCCAGTACATGCAAGCCAAAGCAATGTCTGACCCGATGTCCCAAACAAACGTCAGGATGCCTCCGACTGTCCACAGGACGTCGAGTGTCGAGAACCGCTGTTCATACAAGCCTTCCCTCAGTTCCGTACATTTCTGTATGCGCATGCAACAGCACAGTCTGCTACAACCTGGGTCAGGGATCTCCTGAGACGTTGAACGCGCGTGTTGGAGAGCAGAGTTGGCATCGCCGTTCGAGTTGGCCGCCATTTTGAGTTCGTGCTCCGACTCGCCGGGAAATCCCGGAAGTAGCTAGTCATGTGAAAAATGACGTCACTTTTCTTGCCAGAGAGATTCCCCTTGACACGTGGATGGACTCTGCGGTTTTCATGCTTGTTTGAAGAACTAGAAGGGAATGTGAAACCCTTATCAATTTGATCTTTTTCTGTCCTAAGAATATAAATGGGGAAGCTTAAGAGGGGAAACTTAAAGCATCCAATGCGATTTCAGGGCAGAAAAGTTGGAACTTGATATTCTAAATAAGGCAATCTTTGTGATATTGATACACACTGCTTCGCATTAGCACATTTGAGTCAGCATTTTATACTTTTGGCATTCAAAACTGCAGAAACAAGCCCCAAGACGAGTCCTCTATTTCCTGGTTGGTACCCTAAAAATCAGCCCAGGGCCCTTCCAGTAACCATTTTCCTTCAGAATTTTAGGAATTTTTGCTCCATGAGGGTCAATATACTTTGGGACAGTCTGGTTTCAACTCACTATGTTGATAAATGACTAAATTATTGGCTTTCAAAAATCGGGTTTCCAAGCCCTTAAACTGCATTGGATGCCTTTAACATTACATCTAGAAATGCCGTGCACCTGTGCACGTGTGATCTTGTCTGACTCAGAGGCAACTTGGGGTCTGTATCTACATCTGTATAGCCGGTATAACCGCCCTTGGCGTAACTGACAACGGCGTAACAGGGTCTTTTTCCAAAAAGAAATGCAGCGTTTGCTTTTAGTTTTCAAGCTACTATACCTAGCCTTTCATGAGAGTCTTGGGGATATGACCCTTGTTTCTTGTAGGAGGCGAAAGAAACTATCTCAGGAGTCGTCGATGATAAAATGAAGGTTCAGCTAATGAGATACACAAGGAAATCAGAGGAGTCAGAAAACACAGTCCCCTTCCTGCCCATATTGTAAGGAAATTTTATTACAACGATTCTAGCCTAAGTCTTCTTTAAGAGTTGCTGCAGTGTCAAGACAGCGTTCAGTCGACCTCCAGGTTGAGTCTCCTGAACACACTGTCTAAGGGCGTCCTCTAGCGGACCGTTAATTTCACCAGGAGGGTCATGTAGAAGGCCTTTGAGGGGCTCCTCAACTTTATCTTCCGTACTTTGTTCTTCGTTTGCTTCACTGGTTTCCCCCCAGTTGCGTCGCTCAGGATATTTCAGGTGGTTAGACAAAATTCGGGCACATATGCTGGCATACATCATTGGAGTGTACCTTAGAATGTCCTGACAATGATACGGGTCGTTGAATAGTTTCTTCTGGAAGTCCATGTAACACTGCTCGTTGCACATCTCCGTCTGTTCATGACTGATTCTCCGGTCGATCACCATCTCATCATCCAAGTCTATCAATCTAACCCGTCCGCGGCTGTCGACTGCGAAGTTTTGGAAAGACACGTCCGTTAAAAACAGAACCCAGTCCGGGTCCTTTCCGCGAAGAGTGTCCACCAGTTGTAACAACTGCACTGCAATGTCAGCTCGGACTCCCCAGGGGAAGTCCATGAAAGTGTCTAGCGTCCTCCCTGCATGTTCCACCAAAATAACTCTGCCGCAAGCCCCGTAAAACTTTGGAAAAGGCCAAGGTGTTGTAGACTTTGTAGAGAAATATCGGAGTAAAACCGACTCCACATTGAGGAGAAGTGACGTGGCGAGAAACGCGCGTCCTATTCTGTCTACTTCCGTACTTTCGTTGTCGACGTACAGCTGTTTCACTTCTTGTAAAAACCTGGCAGGCAAACAGAGTGACAAAGCTGACTTTTCCACGTGGCAGATTCTCCACGCTTCCTGCAGCCACGGTAGTTTCAAAACAACGTCGGTCACCAACATGGTCTCCAGAATGAAAGACGAGGCGTTACAAACCTGACGACGCGACGACACCCAACAGATAAACCTCTCAAACTTCTGCCATTGATGTTCCGCACACAGAGTTTTAGCAATAACCGTTTTACCGTCCACCGTCCCGATGGAAACTGCACCTTTCTTCAACGGCCTGTCTGAATGCACATTCTGGAAGTGTCCCCGGTGGAGAAGTTTACAGGTGTCCCCAAAACACGCCGGACATTTTCCTGTCTCCGCCCACGAAATCTCGAGGTCGTGTGTCAGGACAAGTGCCCTCTGCCTGGCCTTCAGAGTGTAGACAAAAGCAACTAACAGCAGTACTACCACCAGGACCACCTTCGTCCTAGTTAACCTATGGCTCCACAGAAAGCGATGAAATAAGCGCCACGATATTGAGCAGGGAGTTAGTAACATGTTTCTTTGCTCATTTTAGTAAACCAACCACGCTATGGCTAAGTCCCGGGACTTCTGCCCGAAGGCAAAATTCCTTACACCAAGGACATTATGTAGATGTCCTTGCTCAAACACAGAGTCGTCGAACTAGGGCAACGTTTTGTCAGACGAGTATCCCAGTGTACACTCCGTCGAGTCAGGTGCGCAGCCGTTCCGCGCAGCTTGATTTTCAAGTTTTCTGTTCTGCAACCCGCCACGGTATCAAAAACACTTGTCTAGGCTAGTCATGGTGAGACAATGTTGACTTAAAAGTCAGCGAGGCAGAAGCTTTTCTATATATAGGACATTATATGTAATGTCCTTGCCTATACAATAGACGAATAAGCTGACTTTCAGGTTATATGAATTGGAATATGAAGCTCAGTAAGTGTACTTATATATGCACAGACGGTCGGCCTACGTAGAAATACGCGTGGATAATACAGCGAACTACCAGGTAAACGGAACTACAATCGTCTGCAGGTCCGTTTACCTCCGATGGATGAGGGCCTAAGACATTTTTTTCAATTACTTTATGGATTATGACTTGATTATGATAAAAAATGGTCTTCTGGATCTGTTTCTCTATAGTGCACTTATAATTTGATCCGCGTCGACAGCAGTCACTGTGATCCTTAAATTCCCATAGTTTTCAGCAAAAGTAAAATATTCCATTTGATCAGAGTCTTGGAGATATGACCCATTAGGTCTCTTGTAGGAGGCGAAAGAAACTATCTTAGGAGTCGTTTTTTACATAGTGGTGGCCTCGTAATACGACCGTTGGGTCACTTCACGTTGATGAGGATCCAGCTGATGAGATACACAAGGAAATCAGAGGAGTCAGAAATCACAGTCCCCTTCCTGCCCATATTGTAAGGAAATTTTATTACAACGATTCTAGACTACGTCTTCTTTAACTTTAAGAGTTGCTGCAGTGTCAAGACAGCGTTCAGTCGACCTCCAGGTTGAGTCTCCTGAACACACTGTCTAAGGGCGTCCTCTAGCGGACCGTTAATTTCACCAGGAGGGTCGTGTAGAAGGCCTTTGAGGGGCTCCTCAACTTTATCTTCCGTACTTTGTTCTTCGTTTGCTTCACTGCTTTCCCCCCAGTTGCGTCGCTCAGGATATTTCAGGTGGTTAGACAAAATTCGGGCACATATGCTGGCATACATCATTGGAGTGTACCTTAGAATGTCCTGACAGTGATACGGGTCGTTGAATAGTTTGTTCTGGAAGTCCACGTAACACTGCTCGTTGCACATCTCCGTCAGTTCATGACTGACGACCGTTCTCCGGTCGATCACCATCACATCATCCAAGTCTATCAGTCTAACCCGTCCGCGGCTGTCGACTGCAAAGTTTTGGAAAGACACGTCTGTTAAAAACAGGACCCAGTCCGGGTCCTTTCCGCGAAGAGTGTCCACTAGTTGTAACAACTGTACTGCAATGCCAGCTCGAACTCCCCAGGGGAAGTCCATGAAGGTGTCTAGCGTCCTCCCTGCATGTTCCACCAAAATAACTCTGCCGCAAGCCCCGTAAGACTTTGGAAAAGGCCAAGGTGTTGTAGACTTTGTAGTGAAATATCGGAGTAAAACCGATCCTCGTTGAGGAGAAGTGACGTGGCGAGAAACGCGCGTCCGACCCTGTCTACTCCTGTTCTCTCGCTTTG